CTGTAGGAGGACATTACATGTGAGTCTATATGTGCTGTAGGAGGACATTACATGTGAGTCTATGTGGTGTAGGAGGACATTACATGTGCTTCTATATGTGGTGTAGGAGGACATTACATGTAAGTCTATAGGTACTGTAGAAGGACATTACATGTGAGTCTATATGTGCTGTAGGAGGACTTTACATGTGAGTCTATATGTACTGTAGGAGGACATTTCATGTGAGTCTATATGTGCTGTCGGGGGACTTTACATGTGAGTCTATATGTACTGTAGGAGGACATTACATACGAGACTATATGTGCTGTAGGGGGCCATTACATGTGAGTCTATAGGTGGTGTAGGAGGACATTACATACGAGACTATATGTGCTGTAGGGGGCCATTACATGTGAGTCTATAGGTGGTGTAGGAGGACATTACGTGTGAGTCTATATGTGGTGTAGTAGGACATTACATGTGAGTCGATAGGTACTGTAGAAGGACATTACATGGGAGTCTATATGGACTGTAGGAGGACATTACATACGAGACTATATGTGCTGTAGGGTGACATTACATGTGAGTCTATTTGTGCTGTAGGAGGACATTGCATGTGAGTCTATATGTGCTGTCGGGGGACTTTACATGTGAGTCTATAAGTGGTGTAGGAGGTCATTACATGCGTGACTATATGTGCTGTAGGGTGACATTACATGTGAGTCTATGTGTGCTGTAGGAGGACATTTCATGTGAGTCTATATGTGCCGTAGGAGGACATTACATGTTAGTCTATATGTGCTGTAGGGTGACATTACATGTGAGTCTAGATGGACTGTAGGAGGACATTACATGCGAGGCTATATGTGCTGTAGGGGGGCATTACATGTGAGTCTATAGGTGGTGTAGGAGGACATTACATGCGAGACTATATGTGCTGTAGGGGGACTTTACATGTGAGTCTATATGTACTGTAGGAGGACATTTCATGTGAGTCTATATGTGCCGTAGGAGGACATTACATGTGAGTCTAGATGGACTGTAGGAGGACATTACATACGAGACTATATGTGCTGTAGGGGGGCATTACATGTGAGTCTATAGGTGGTGTAGGAGGACATTACAAGGACATTACATGTGAGTCTATAGGTGGTGTAGGAGGACATTACGTGTGAGTCTATATGTGGTGCAGGAGCACATTACATGCGAGGCTATATGTGCTGTAGGGGGCCATTACATGTGAGTCTATATGTTCTGTAGGAGGACATTACATGCGAGTCTATATGTGCTGTAGAAGGACATTACATTTGAGTCTATATGTGGTGTAGTAGGACATTACATGTGAGTCTAGATGGACTGTAGGAGGACATTACATGAGAGACTATATGTGCTGTAGGGTGACATTACATGTGAGTCTAGATGGACTGTAGGAGGACATTACATGAGAGACTATATGTGCTGTAGGGGGACATTACATGTGAGTCTATCACAACCTCTATTTCTCCCACTACCACTACAGGTTCCTCACTTCTGACTCATTAAATAAACTAAGACTTGTTAAACTTGTGTGTTAACACTAGTGGATAACAGCATAGATATTACTTCATTGGTCAATCCTCTAATTATGACGTCCAGTAACAATTCCTTGCGACGTCATCTTAAATTGTGACGTCATAGTTCATGGCCATTGTTTCCCCAGATCAGAATCCTGAGTTATGTATTCCCAAGAGAAAAATATAATTTTCTAGATATAATATCTGAACATTGCAAGAGAAAAAAGTCCCCAAACTAGTAATGGTTGATTATCAGGTTTATCTTACTCTCACGAGTTAGATATACATGATAACCAACTATCACTGTTGGGGAACCTCTATTTCGTCCACAACCGCAACAGGTTTCCTCACTCCTGACTAATTAAGTAAACCTGCTAGGAGCGAGTATACATTTTTAGTTAACCACTATTTGGTACTAACACCCTGACATTTCATTGGTCAAATTTGCAAGAGAAATAAAAGATTTTCTAGGTATGTGAAGGATAGGGAAGATGAAGGTCCCAAACTTGTGATGGCTGGTTATCATCTTCTACTCATTAATTATCAAATTGTTAACAATATATTGGATAAACCTTCAGACAAAATTTGAAAATTAGCTATGGAGTTAGATAAACATAATAACTAACCAAAACCATTTTTGGGGGGAACCTCAATCTCGATTCCCCCACTGTAAGGATATGCAGTACAACTTTAAATATAATTGTTTGTTTTCTAATAAATGCACAAAAATTTAAGTACATCTCAAAATTTGCAAATATATCGTATATGTCGTGGTTTTTGCCAATGTCGACTTGGATTGTTCGAACTACTATCTATTTTGGCGACTATCATTTCGAGTAATTCAAACAGGATTGACAACATTTATTAAATTTGGTTCTATCTGACCGGAAGTTTACCGTATCACATAACTGTGATGCACCTGCTATTCAATACTTACAGACTGTCTGGACAAGGGACCGGGCTGCTGTGACAAATTCCTGATAACATAAACATCTACCATTGTAAAGAACTCATACTCCCTGGTGATATTATTTTTGCTAGTTTTCACAACCTAAAATAATATGTGCAAGGTAAACTCTGTAAATGTGTTGCCATTCTGTAAGTGGAAGTGAGTGTAACTGTGATATTATCATATGAATTTGTGCCAGGAACAGAAACACAAAAGTTTGACCCGAAAAATTACAGTGCTATAGTTTATTTGATAAACACTATCTTGTATGTATTTAGATTATAATTAAAAACTTTTTATTATTTGACAAACAATAAATTGTTTGTTTTATTCCATTGTACTAAATTAGTAAAACTCATCTTACAAAAATTAAACCTAATGGGTTTACTTTATACAAGATTTAAAAGTGCTTGCTTACCTGAAATGTGTTATTGTCCTTGTAGAATATTATAAGATAAATTATTTTCAAGGTCGTTGACTTATGAGCATTGTCAAAATCTTTTATACACTGAAACATCATCTGGGCGACCATGTTAGGAGAGTACCCTAAGAACCCAGTACCGAGTGCTGGGAATGCTATCGAGGTCCTATTGTTGAGGTGTGCCTTCTCAAGACACTTATGTAGCAGTGATTTCATCACCTGTGGTATAAAAATGTTGTAATGAGCATAACTTACCTTCAAGTATGAAGGGACTTAAATAGCTCACTAAATTATGTTTTAGTATTCTTTACATATTTGATCACTTTGACCTTGAAAGTAGACCAAGGTGATTCATGTAAGAGCCCTTCATTGTAATGAGACACAGACTAGGATTCAGGGTTCTGTGAGAGAAGTTGTTTAAAGTTTTTAACATATCCAGCACCTGCAACCTTGAAAGTCGTAGAAGGTTATTCAGTTGATTGAACACAATTAATATGCCTTTACCCCACCAAGCTACAGGATAAATATCAAATTAAAAGAAGCGATCCCATACTATATGTTTCAATTAAAATGTGGCCAATGATAGCCATACAGAACAAGAGGCCCACTTGCCGGACTTGCTCACCTGTCCTTTTTTCCAATTCTCAATACATTTGACCTTTGTTACCCTGAAAGTGGAACAATTTATAAGAATGAACTTGATAGTCCACTATCACAACATGCTATCCTTTATATGACTATAGGCCTCCTTGTACTTATATGCTTTATGGTTCCAAAGAAGAAGTCATGCAAGGCAAAAATGATAGACCACAGAATTATCATTGCATAAGTTTTGTGCTAGGTGAGCTATACATAGGTTAATATAGGAATGAATTGTATTGCTGCAATTCAGATCATGACATGAGTCTTTCCTATAGCTACAGAATTACAGATGAGCCTTCATAATGCAGCAAGCTATGTTCAAAGCTTAATTTGTTGTATGATGAAACCCTTGCATTGCTAAGACAACTTTGTAAGGCTCGATAGTGAGACAACTGGAGCAGTAGCCAGATTAGTGATGCTCTACATCCTCTGTTACCTTTTCTTCCTGTGGACCTGTCCATTTTGGTAGACACACATGGTAGATCCTCTGACAGGAGAGGTTCCCTCCATTCGTTACGGCCAGCTCACCGTACCTGATACCACCTGGATAATCATTGTCACACTCCGACTGGATTGAATCACCTGCTGCATCCAAGAGAGACTTTGATGCTCTGCCTTTATCCAGTTTAAGCTCCTTCACAGCACTGTTCACTATTACATCAACCTGTAACCAAACAGTTCAACATCAGGAGCTGGACAGGTAGCACAACATGTACAACTCTAACCCTCCCAGACAGACATACAGACAGGTAGTACAACTCTAACCCTCCCAGACAGACATACAGACAGGTAGTACAACATGTACAACTCTAACCCTCCCAGACAGACATACAGACTGGTAGTACAACATGTACAACTCCAACCCTCCCAGACAGACATACAGACAGGTAGCACAACATGTACAACTCTAACCCTCCCAGACAGACATACAGACAGGTAGTACAACATGTTTAACTCCAACCCTCCCAGACAGACATACAGACAGGTAGCACAACATGTACAACTCCAACCCTCCCAGACAGACATACAGACAGGTAGCACAACATGTACAACTCCAACCCTCCCAGACAGACATACAGACAGGTAGCACAACATGTACAACTCCAACCCTCCCAGACAGACATACAGACAGGTAGCACAACATGTACAACTCCAACCCTCCCAGACAGACATACAGACAGGTAGCACAACATGTACAACTCCAACCCTCCCAGACAGACATACAGACAGGTAGCACAACATGTACAACTCCAACCCTCCCAGACAGACATACAGACAGGTAGCACAACATGTACAACTCCAACCCTCCCAGACAGACATACAGACAGGTAGCACAACATGTACAACTCCAACCCTCCCAGACAGACATACAGACAGGTAGCACAACATGTACAACTCCAACCCTCCCAGACAGACATACAGACAGGTAGCACAACATGTACAACTCCAACCCTCCCAGACAGACATACAGACAGGTAGCACAACATGTACAACTCCAACCCTCCCAGACAGACATACAGACAGGTAGCACAACATGTACAACTCCAACCCTCCCAGACAGACATACAGACAGGTAGCACAACATGTACAACTCCAACCCTCCCAGACAGACATACAGACAGGTAGCACAACATGTACAACTCCAACCCTCCCAGACAGACATACAGACAGGTAGCACAACATGTACAACTCCAACCCTCCCAGACAGACATACAGACAGGTAGCACAACATGTACAACTCCAACCCTCCCAGACAGACATACAGACAGGTAGCACAACATGTACAACTCCAACCCTCCCAGACAGACATACAGACAGGTAGCACAACATGTACAACTCCAACCCTCCCAGACAGACATACAGACAGGTAGCACAACATGTACAACTCCAACCCTCCCAGACAGACATACAGACAGGTAGCACAACATGTACAACTCCAACCCTCCCAGACAGACATACAGACAGGTAGCACAACATGTACAACTCCAACCCTCCCAGACAGACATACAGACAGGTAGCACAACATGTACAACTCCAACCCTCCCAGACAGACATACAGACAGGTAGCACAACATGTACAACTCCAACCCTCCCAGACAGACATACAGACAGGTAGCACAACATGTACAACTCCAACCCTCCCAGACAGACATACAGACAGGTAGCACAACATGTACAACTCCAACCCTCCCAGACAGACATACAGACAGGTAGCACAACATGTACAACTCCAACCCTCCCAGACAGACATACAGACAGGTAGCACAACATGTACAACTCCAACCCTCCCAGACAGACATACAGACAGGTAGCACAACATGTACAACTCCAACCCTCCCAGACAGACATACAGACAGGTAGCACAACATGTACAACTCCAACCCTCCCAGACAGACATACAGACAGGTAGCACAACATGTACAACTCCAACCCTCCCAGACAGACATACAGACAGGTAGCACAACATGTACAACTCTAACCCTCCCAGACAGACATACAGACAGGTAGTACACCATACACAACTCCAACCCTCCCAGACAGACATACAGACAGGTAGCACAACATGTACAACTCCAACCCTCCCAGACAGACATACAGACAGGTAGCACAACATGTACAACTCCAACCCTCCCAGACAGACATACAGACAGGTAGCACAACATGTACAACTCTAACCCTCCCAGACAGATATACAGACAGGTAGCACAACATGTACAACTCTAACCCTCCCAGACAGATATACAGACAGGTAGCACAACATGTACAACTCCAACCCTCCCAGACAGACATACAGACAGGTAGCACAACATGTACAACTCCAACCCTCCCAGACAGACATACAGACAGGTAGCACAACATGTACAACTCTAACCCTCCCAGACAGATATACAGACAGGTAGCACAACATGTACAACTCTAACCCTCCCAGACAGATATACAGACAGGTAGCACAACATGTACAACTCCAACCCTCCCAGACAGACATACAGACAGGTAGCACAACATGTACAACTCTAACCCTCCCAGACAGATATACAGACAGGTAGCACAACATGTACAACTCTAACCCTCCCAGACAGATATACAGACAGGTAGCACAACATGTACAACTCTAACCCTCCCAGACAGATATACAGACAGGTAGCACAACATGTACAACTCTAACCCTCCCAGACAGATATACAGACAGGTAGCACAACATGTACAACTCTAACCCTCCCAGACAGATATACAGACAGGTAGCACAACATGTACAACTCTAACCCTCCCAGACAGATATACAGACAGGTAGCACAACATGTACAACTCTAACCCTCCCAGACAGATATACAGACAGGTAGCACAACATGTACAACTCTAACCCTCCCAGACAGATATACAGACAGGTAGCACAACATGTACAACTCTAACCCTCCCAGACAGATATACAGACAGGTAGCACAACATGTACAACTCTAACCCTCCCAGACAGATATACAGACAGGTAGCACAACATGTACAACTCTAACCCTCCCAGACAGATATACAGACAGGTAGCACAACATGTACAACTCTAACCCTCCCAGACAGATATACAGACAGGTAGCACAACATGTACAACTCTAACCCTCCCAGACAGATATACAGACAGGTAGCACAACATGTACAACTCCAACCCTCCCTGACAGACATACAGACAGGTAGCACAACATGTACAACTCCAACCCTCCCTGACAGACATACAGACAGGTAGTACAACATGTACAACTCTAACCCTCCCAGACAGACATACAGACAGGTAGTACAACATGTACAACTCCAACCCTCCCAGACAGACATACAGACTGGTAGTACAACATGTACAACTCTAACCCTCCCAGACATATACAGACAGGTTATTCACTAGATATTTTCAAAAAATTACTGTTACATACCGACTCTTCTATGATGTTACCCTTGACGACTGTAACCTGAACTTTGCCAATGGTGGTAAACCTAGGAGGCCTCCTTCCTCTGACCCTCCTTTGTGTAGGGGCTGATTCTTCCTCATCATCATCTTCTTGGTCTGTACTGTCGGATTTCCCCCTACTGAAGAGTGCTGGCCGATGTCTATCTACCATATCAGATCTTACAGGCCGCTGGGTATCTACCTCTTCAAAAAAGGATGATGTTAGTGATTATTATTTAGGCATGATATTCATCCCTTTGAATTTGCATACTTACAAAAACAATTGGAATATTTACGAAAACACAAACAAATGTGAAAGAATATTTACAATATTAAAGATTATAGTGTGGTCAATTTGGACTTCCTCATTCTTGGCTATTGAACATTGATGCAAATCCAAAGAAAAAAACATAAAACAAGTCTGTATGTATGTCACAAATCATATATGATAATTTATCAACAAATTTTTATAAAAATGTATAAAACCTAAGATCAAAAATTGCCTCTTGCACAAACGCACGCATACATTACACACATGGAGGCACGTCCTAAAATGATCATAGCTGTTAATTAATTTAATAGGATGTCAAACAAAATAAAACCAAAAGTTAAACAAAATTGCAGTCCCTGAATCCATTCAGGTTCTCGAGGAGAAATCCTCAGGGACTACAGTTTATAAATTTCTGTTGTATGATATTTCATTCATGAACAGAAGGATAATTTGAACATTTTTCACTTATATATAAATAAAACAAAACACTGAAGACTAAATATACCTGCAATAGTTATATTATTTATATTATATGTATATATTATCTGGATATTATATTATGATATATTATAAAAAGAAAAATTCTTAACAACGAGTCTTTAGTACTTTCATCTCTTCTAGGAGATTCTTCCGACTTATTAAGACTTATTAAGATATATATACACATATATATCTTGATTTTTTTTTATATCATCTCAACTTAATCTTTAAATTTTAATATACAATGTAAAACATATTTTAGTATTCAAGTTCAATGTTAATAAGCGTGCTTTTAGTTCAGAATTTTAAAATTTGTTACACTAATACTACATGATAATATTTTGTTATTTTGTTATATTAGTTCATCATAACTTCTCTGGTTGTTTAACCAAATGGCTCCAGATATACCTTCATCATCGCTACTCTGGTTGTTACCCATTTCTGTATCTAGGCAGACTAGTCACAGGGACAGATCACATGGTACAGTTACCTCCACCTCAGATACCGATGATTGGAACTGTCATGCAGGTATTGAAAATTAAAAACATCATTCCACATTTCTATGAGAGGTACTGTTACTCAGTGGTTTTTTGATACAACAGATACTTTACGCTCTTTCTTCTCTCAATTACTCTCTCAGTTACTGGTAATTAGTATGACTTCAGTAGTTTTCAGTCTACTGTTGATTAGTAATTAGTGACTTAATAAATTATAGTAACTGGTACAGGTTCATTTCACTGTTCATTAGTTATAAATGACTTGTATAGTTTTCAGTCTATCGTTAATTAGAAATAGTGACTTGTATTATTTCACTTCACCATAGCTATGGGTTTTGCCAAATTTGGCAAAACCCTCGGCAATCTCGGGTTATACCAACTTTCAAAAAAAACTTGGGGGTAATTTCCCTATCCTAAACCCCTAGGTATGTAAGAATATTATAATATTAAGGATTAACTTGAATATATTTTTTATGTTATGGAGATATAACACAAAAAAAGGAGACTACTCTAAATAAACTGCAAAGCAGTTAGGCAGTTTATGATTAGAGTACACTCCGGATTTTGGGTTAGAGCTCCATAAAATATATTCAAGTTAATCTTTATAATTTAATTTACTATACACAATCCCTGTGGAAATCCACTTTTATTGATGGACTCTTTTCTCTTAGAAATTGTTACACCGCTGTATCAGCCAATCAAAAGTGAAATTACAAACAGCAATGTCATATTTTATGTTACGGGCTGATAACATAAATTTTTAAGCCAATTAAAATGCTTGTTACCAGCAAGATTAAATTATTGTACAATAATTCACCTTTAAGTGACTACTATAGTTTTCAGTAGACTGTAAAATTATCCTACCAATTAACTATTCATAGTACTAATTTATCATTGTTGTATATAATGTACATTTTTTAATATGCTTGACCATATGGGAGACAAGTCTTTGACTCAATATGTAATAAAGTTTAAATAAAGACTATTATTATTATCATTATTATTTAATTGTAAAGAGTGGACTATTTATTACGCATGTCACTTATAAACAGTAGACTGAAAACTATAGCAGTCACTTATAAACAGTAGACTGAAAACTATAGGAGTCACTTGTTAACATTAGACTGAAAACTACAGTAGTCACTTATAAACACTAGACTGAAAACTGTAGTAGTCACTTATAAACAGTAGACTGCAAACTGTAGCAGTCACTTGTAAACATTAGACTGAAAACTATAGTAGTCACTTATAAACAGTAGACTGAAAACTATAGTAGTCACTTGTTAACATTAGACTGAAAACTACAGTAGTCACTTATAAACAGTAGACTGAAAACTGTAGTAGTCACTTATAAACAGTAGACTGCAAACTGTAGCAGTCACTTGTAAACATTAGACTGAAAACTATAGCAGTCACTTATAAACAGTAGACTGAAAACTATAGTAGTCACTTGTAAACATTAGACTGAAAACTATAGTAGTCACTTATAAACAGTAGACTGAAAACTACAGTAGTCACTTATAAACTGTAGACTGAAAACTATAGTAGTCACTTATAAACAGTAGACTGACAACTATAGCAGTCACTTATAAACAGTAGACTGAAAACTATAGTAGTCACTTATAAACAGTGGACTGACAACTATAGCAGTCACTTATAAATAGTAGACTGAAAACTATAGTAGTCACTTATAAACAGTAGACTGAAAACTATAGCAGTCACTTATAAACAGTAGACTGACAACTATAGCAGTCACTTATAAACAGTAGACTGAAAACTATAGTATCTGTCTAATTAACAGTAGTCTGGAACTACACAAATCACTCATAACTAATAAACTGTGAATGAAAAACTGTACAAGTCTCTATAAGTACTAATTAACAGTAAACCGAAAACTACTCAATTCACTAATTACTGATAACCACAAAAACTTATTGTAGTAATTTACATTTAGAATAATAGGCATATAGGCAACTTATAGAATTTCAAGTCACTACTATGTAATTTATAACCTTAAATAAATTCAACAACACACATGTTACTTATTGATCAATTAGTATAATTAGTGTCACCACATATACTATTTATTATTAATGATTGTAAGCTTTAAAAAGAAACCATACATGCAGGTCTCTTATCAGGAATTCAGCATCTTAAAGTGAAAGCCTCAAAGTAGTTAACAGAAATAAGTATATCAGTACATTGATTACCATACAAGTTACTGATAAATCATAAGCCTCTACACTGAGAACCACACTAAATATCTACACTAACTAATAGTGTTTTAATGAATCAATATATAGATATGTGTGAAAAAAGGCAAAATTCTTCAAAATATAACAGATACTGACCTAGTGTGGTACCGCCTGGTAATGTAAATGTTATCAGGATTAACTTACAGGCATGATTGCATACTCAGACCTGCAGTGTCTGAACGTTCATTTCCTGTATGTACAAAGTTCAGTTTCTTTTTCCTTGTATAGTTTTATACAGGGAAGTATAATTTTCAAATTGCCTTAATCATTTCTCTATTACGTAATTACAATTGATATAAACACTAATCCGGACCAACAACTTGTCAAAAAGCAAGATATTTATTGCTTCAAGGAAAGAATACATGCAGAATTTGATACATTGACAATGTTACTTTCAGTTTTAGGTCTGTTGAAGACGGATGTCTAATACCCAGATGAGGATATCTGGTATTGGAAACATCTTCATTTCTGTCTGTGATGCCATGACAGTTCAACAAAAAGTCTATAAAACATTCGAATCTTTTCTCGTAAAAATTGAAACATAATAAGTACAACTAGTTACTTTCATTTTCTATATACTTTACAGTATCTTCTAGAATAGGTATACGTATCGCATTAAGTTTCGCAAGTAACTCCACCTACCTATAGAGCGTTTTTAAACATCCCCTTGCCTCTGTTCCGTGTAAACAATAGTTCTTACATTGTATCTTGTGAACAACACACAACTGCAGTAGGGTACTTTCCGGGAAACGTAGTCTTGGGAATTTCCAACTTCCTTGTGTCACACGAGTATTTGTGTGGGTTTCTTCTTGTGCGACTATATAGATACAATAACCCAAATACATATGCACACACAGATGACAGTTTATTTAAACATTCACACCATGAACGGAGACAGTTCCCTTGCACTGTGGCGGTAACGCACACAGGCAATTCCCATACGTCTTATCCAAGCCAAGGGTTGATATAGAGTCAATTAACTCACCTGGGTAGAGCCCAGGGTGGGGCTTTTCACGTGCATGGACAGGGTCATAGGTCAAAGTGTCACTCTCATCCAATACTTGCACCCACCTCTCATACGTCACAATTATAACACAGGTACATTACCTGACACAGACATATATACCATTACACACGATACACAGCGCAAGTATTAACATGTACTCAATTTACATCGTATTTAAAATTCATCTTTTTAAATACTAAATTACTGGACAAACTCTTAATAAGTTTGGCCACCGTGACACTTGTTTGATTTCAGGGCGATTTTTTAGTTATCTCCCTTATATTGCAATATTGCGTAGATAGCGTATGGATACACATGTATATTTTTTTTCTTCAAATGTAGATTTTGTAGTTTGATATATTATAATAATTAATAGGACAGTAAGAACGAATGCTTAGCCTATTCATCTCTCCTGTATTTTCATCTTATCGCATAAAATTAATGTCTGAAAAAATTGGGTGCAAGTCCAATGGAATACAAATCAACTTATGTTTAAATGATTATTTAAATGATTAAAGTAAGGCGCAACTAATTAAAGACATGTTCAATTCAATTGCATCTGTGATTAATTGAAAATATGTTGAGTTCAATATTGAAAATAACTTAAACTTCTGTTGAATTGATTTTCAATTAATTTTAACTTATCTACCATTTAATCAAACTTATTTTCAAGATTTAAAGACGATAGGCGTTCCTGATGTCAATCGAGAATTTTTAAACTCCAATAGGCTTACAAGGCACTGACTTTCATGATCTGAACATATGTACAATACTCACTTGGAACCAAAACTTTGATGTACATGTAGCTAGCAAGCCGCCTGTTAGTACATTGTAGTAACAGTGTATTAGTTGTATTTAAAACAGTTCAAAACATCTTTCAATATGCAAAACAACTCAAAATACTCTCTCGCAAAGCACCTCCGTAACACGAAGTACGCCTTCCTTACACTAACCCCTTCCATGCACTTATCAATATGAACGTTACTTACCAATGACGGTATAGGCAGCTCATGGCTCGATCGTCCGTAACTGAAAATTATCCTAATCTTGATATTTGTCGCATTAGACTTTCTCAAGACGTCATTACTAAGAGAACGAAAAAAATGTGAAGCAGAAAGACAGACATAATATTAGGAAACCTTCAAAGATTATTTTTTTTATTTGTTTTAAATTTCTTATAGTCTAAGTGTGTACTTTCTTTTGTGGACATGTTAGTGTCGAATATCATCACAACAGGCTGAGCTCGTCGTATTTTATTAAACCAGAACAACTTTTCAAAATTATAAAAATAAGCTTGTCACTTACATCAGTAAACTACTCGCATCTTTCTTTTTGGGTTCCATTGCGTTGCTGATGGGCTTGAACTGCTTTCAATTAGCATTCTTCTTCTTCTTGTGGATAATAGCAATCCTTCACATAAACTGAAGATTACATGCTATGCGCTGGGAAATGTACAAGGGAATAAGGGTTATTTTTTTTAGATTTTTAACATATATAGATTAAACTATTTACAGGGTACAGATTTAGAATGTTGAAGACAGGTAAGACACAGGGATAGCAGACATGAATGCTTCCACTGTGTCAGATGATACGGCTGAATGAGGGAGATGATTCCATTGACTGATGGTGCGAGGATAGAAGGAAAATGTATACGTATCTTTTGTGGTCTGTATGTGTTTAAAGGCATGATGAGTGTGGTGGCTGGATCTGGTTCTACTGTCAGCTGGTATTAAAAGGTTTGTTGGATAAATTGCTACTACATTATTCAAATTTTTGTAAAACATGACCAGTCTGAAGTATAATCTGCGCGTGTGAAGGGGACACCAATGTAGTGTTTCCATCATTTCAGTTACAGAGCTGGTGTTATGATATCTGTGGCAGACAAACCGTGCAGCGCGTCGTTGGACTTTTTCAATTTGGTTACTTTGGTTGTTGTTATGTGAGCCCCAGACAGGTGAGCAGTAGTCAAGTTTTGGACGGACAAGGGTTTTATAGGCATGATTTTTTACTTTGGAGGAATTTATTTTCAAGTTTCGGCGAAGGAAACCCAAGGACTGATTGGCTTTAGTGGTCATTGAATGTATGTGCTTCTCCCATTTTAAGTTTGATTGTAACGTGACGCCAAGGTATTTTGCCGAATCAGTAATTTCCAAGGTGTGACCATGAAGTTGATGATTTGAAGTAAATTTACTTTGACGTCTGTTGAGAACTTTTAGTACTGTGCATTTATCAGGATGGAAACTCATTAGCCAATCTTTTTCCCATTTACCAGCGGCACTCAGATCTGATTGTAATTTCTCAACATCATCTTGTGTTTAATGGTTTTATAAATTATGCTGTCATCGGCGAAGAGGCGTAGAGTGCTGAATTTGATATATTCTGAAAGATCATTAATATAAATGAGAAACAGGATAGGCCCGAGGACCGTACCCTGGGGAGCACCTGAAGTTACAGGGACTGTAGATGATTTTTCACCATTTAATACTACGGACTGTGTTCTGTTGGATAGAAATGAAGAAATCCAGTTAAGTATGTTGTTCTGTATACCATAGAATTTTAGTTTATAAAGTAGGTGGTGGTGAGAAACCTTATCAAATGCTTTAGCGAAGTCCATAATTATAACATTCATAGGGCAATATAAATGCCAACAGGCCAAAGGCAAATTTAATTTAGCGCTAGTTAGTATTTATATTGCGCTAGCCTTTGTCCAGTTAGCATTCACATTGCCTATTTATAATACCAACAGAAAACAGTTCAACCATTTCACCCCTATGTTACTTTAGTAGACTCTACCATGCATTGATCTGGACGAGTCCATTATGGTCTACAGTGGTAAACGAGTTAAGACTTATGTTTACCATTTGTGAAATATGTTTATTTCATAGAAATTCAATTACACTTTGTATCATTCAGGATTTCATGAAAATAACGTATATATCGCATATATGCTTGTTCAATTAATAGAACAGTCATCTGTCCGGGGAGGGTCAGTGGTAACAATTATAACGTCAAATTAATGATGACGTCAACAACCGGCATCTGAATAATGCCATACGTGATATACATATGAATATACAAATCTCAGTAAAAAGGGACAATCAATCATACAAGCAAAAAACAAGTTTTCACCTAATCATTTAAAACTAAGCACTCACATGATATCGATATATAAACAAAGATAGTCCTATTTGTTTTTATTTTCCTCGTTCTTGTAAAACAAATTAATCATGCAAGGATTTGTTTTTGGCCAAGTGAGCCTATGCCTTGGCGCGGCGTCCGTCGTCCGGCGTCAATATTTTGCTTTAAACAACTTCTTCTGAATAACCAAAATGCCCAGGGTGGTGATATTTGGCCAGTAACATGATGAGATGAAGGGCTACAAAGTTTGTTCAAATAAATGACCTTCATTTATAGTCCAGGTCACCGGGGTCAATTGCATTAAAAACCTTTAAAGAACTTCTTATGAATAACCAAAATGCCCATGGAGATGATATTTGGCCAGTAGCATGCTGGGGTGAAGGGCTAACAAGTTTGTTCAAATGAATGACCGTGACTCATATTCAAGGTCACAGGGGTCAGTTGTTAAAAAAATACCTTTAAAAAACTTGTTCTGAATAACAAAAATGCACAGGATGTTGATATTTAGTCAGTAGCATACTAGGATAAAGGGCAATCAAGTTTTTTCAAATGAACGACCTTGACATTTATTCAAGGTCACAGGTGCCAAATATGTTCAAAATCTTTAAATGACATCTTCTGAATAACCAAAATGCACAGGCAGATGATATTTGGCCAGTAGCATGCTGGGGTAAAGGGCTACCAAGTTTGTTAAAATGAATGACCTTCACTAATATTCAAGGTCACAGTGGTCAAATATGTAAAAAAAACCTTTTAACAACTTCTTTAGAATAACCAAAATTTCCAGGGAGACAATATTTGGCCAGTAGCATGCTAGGGTGAATTACCATGACTCATATTCAAGGTCACAAGGGTCAGTTGTTAAAAAAGACCTTTAAACAACTTCTTCTGAATAACTAAAATGCCCAGGATGTTGATATTTAGTCAGTAGCATACTAGGATAAAGGGCTACCAAGTTTGTTTGAAATGTATGACCTTTAATCATATTCAAGGTCACAAAAAGCAAATATGCTCAAAATCTTTAAACAACTTGTTCTGAATAGCTAAAAGGCCCAGGATGATGATATTTGGCCTGTAACATGATAGGATGTCAATGCAAGGATCTATTTTCATTCTGATTTGGTCATAATGTGTTTACACTGTTTTTTCTGATACTTTATTTCCAAAGTCCTTAGAATTATAATGCGCCACACTCATTATCTATGATGACCAAATCTCTTTTTTTGACTATTTTGCACACACCGTAATAAATTCCAGCATGAAAAACTGCTCAACATCAATTCAAATGATCTTCATAATGTGTTCTTTATTTCAATTCATATACAAGTATTATACAATCTACAGTTTTAAATAGCCATCACTAATTAAGCCGCACAAATGTACACTATTCGAGTGATGGCATTACTTAGCATAACCATTACATATGTTATGCAATACATATGATGCATGTGAGTTATGCATAGTATGCAATTTCATTGGCAGCTGGTGGGCTATATTTTAATGGATATGTTACATGGCGCGTTAAACCACTAACATTGAAAGAGTAACCATCAATATGACGTCACAATAAACCATCAACAATGTCGAAAGGGACCCTTTCCATTCTGGTTTAATATGAGACAAATAGTTTAATTGATTATCGTAGAAAGGATTTCCACAACTCATGATAGTTATATTCATCATAATAATCTAACTCCCATTAACAATTAATGATTTATTGATTTCAAAAAGGCACAAGGTTTGCCATTTTTTTTTTAATTTTCTAAAATCAACGAGACTAAGAAGAATATAACCCACAACAGTCTTAAGAGGGTGTTAATGTGAGAGGCAACAGGAGAACCCAAAGAAACCCCACAAGGTTGGGCAGGTAACCCGATACCTTTTCATGCCCTGGCCGCCCTGGTGACAGGTGAGTGCATTACCCACTGCGCCACCTGACCACCCATGTTTGGATTTGGCATTTCTTACTTAAGACAGCATACTTTCAGAACTGTTTTGACACAGTGTATGACATTTCAATATAAATAGATATAAAAAGTATTTTGAGGAATGGGAAGAGGGGAGTTAAAGGGAGTTTGGACAATGACTACTACATTACTGTAAATGTTGGTTCATTGTATCTGCTAATTGTTGTAAAGTATGTGATACATGTATTTTCCTTCCAAAGGGGTAGGGGATTTGGTGGGACAGGATGAATTTTTCTCCTCCTTTTTTCAGGTTAACTTTTTTTTAAATGTACAATATCAAAATATAAAGATATTCGGTAGGGAAATACACTTTATATTGGGAGTGGGTTACTTTCATGTTGGTGTATAAGAAGTATAATATACCTTCTATGAGGAAGGTTTATATTTATCACCGGGCGTATCTATGAGGAAGGTTTATATTTATCACCGGGCGTATCTAACGATTTTCTGCAGATAGTGTTTATGTATTTCAGGAGGCTGAATCATCAAACCTTTTCTGTGGTTCAATACTGGAGTTCTGTTACACTTGTGAAATATACTGTAACTGCTATGAATTATATAGTAATAATTGATATAATACTTTACATATTACAACAAGCTTAAAATCTACAGACAGTATCTATACACACAAACAAACTGAAGTATATACTTGTGTATAAAGGTAACTTTTTTATATAATGCACATACATTTTTTTGAAAAAGTGTGGAAAAACCATTTTAAGAGAGATCTGCTCCTTTGTCAAGACAAGGGTTATACATGTATATGTAGACAGATATACTATATATAGGGTTATACTTGTGACAATAACATAAAGCAAAATATCATCAACGAACCTCTGAACTTACCAGCGCATGACTAATTGAATTTATAACCTTAACTGGTATACCAGATATAACAAGAGTTAATGGAAAAGTTAAGAAAATAATTTTGTGATGTCATATGTTTCCGATATTCCTATGCAGCATCAGGAGAAATGTTTACAATCAAACAAATGCTACTTTGACTAAACAAAGAGATTGTTGGGGAACTTTCTCTATGTTAACTCTCATTCCTGACGCCAGCAAATATAAATAAGGTGTCAAATAGACAGCTAATCGGTGACTTTTCCTTTTTTCAGAATGCCGCAACTGTTGTTAAGCATTATGACTAGATATATAGATAGGCAGTATCTGGTTATGCACCTCTTTAATATCTGGTCATGATCAAATATAGGGCTTTCAGAGGTTGACAGGTATGTATCCAGTACAAATAATCTCATATCTTCATTTTATTATGTTCTGGATATAATGCCGGATGACACAGACAGAAATACCTAGCACAAAATAGATAATTGAAAAAGAATTGATAAGCTAATGAATGGTAATTGATGTTCTAAGAATTCTAAAAGTCATTCTTGATTCCTATATTCAGTTAAACAAAACAAAAATATGACAAATTTACATATTGAAATCTCGTACATGCTACATAGAAAAGACAGTGATACTATGTGGCATGTTAAAACAGCACAACATAAATAAAAACATTTTACAAACAGTAATTAAAAAAACAATTTTGTCACTTTTTCATAAATACTTTATCACAGCTCTGCTTCAACTTGACCTTTGTAAGTCTTGTGATGCAAATTTTCATCTTTGACCCAGTAAACCCACCTTCCTGTTCAAAGTAGCTAATTGCAAAAAATAAAAAACAGGGTGACAATTTCTCATTCTGCAGTACTGAAGGTAAAAACCCTATAGGGGAATATAATTATGATATACAGTTACTTGAAGCCTTTTCATGAAAACTATATTCATAAACCGTTCCCAAAACTGAAGGGTTGAACTCAAACATCTGCAAGACATGATTTAACTGTTTCATGCAAAAGCATGAAATAACAGTGTTGTTACCTGTCAACATCTTTATAAAATTCGTGCTTGGTTTTCACCAAGCTTCAAAAGCACTTAGAGCCTGTTTTCAGTGTTTATATCCTCACTTTGGTATCAAACCAATGCTTCACATACTCCTTTGGGCCTATGGCTATAAACTGTCATCATGTAATAACATGTAATATGGATTATTAATGGTGCCAGTCTGCTGCTATACACCCCAAATCGGTCAATCCAACTCCAGAACCTAGGGTTAGCTGGACTGTATACATCAACTCCATATTGCCCAGGGTAAGACATTAAGTTGAACTCCAGGCCTAAGTGATGTGACTCTCAACTCTAGCCGACTTCCGACTTCCGGACATTCAAGCGACCAGGGTATGGTTTTCCATGAGCTTCAGGTCACTACAGCACTACAGGGTCACACTACGGGGTCAATAGCTTATCAGCTGCTCTCCATCAGGTCCAAGGGAGGTACTGCTACAGGTGATAGGCACCCCTTATCTGCAGACTTGTTAATAAATTCTCAGAATTTATCCTACATTGTTTGTTATTTGTTGTGTAAAAGATACTTTAAAAAAACTTGTTCTGGCACATAAATCTATTTCCTGGCTCCTTTTCATTTGTGTTGAGTTTTACCAGGAAAACAGTAAAACATGTTAATCTTATTCATATATAGAACAGAGTAACAACACTGTTTTATTCCCTGGTATACGCTATAACATAGTCTGATAGCCCAGGTATACGTTATAACATATTCTGGGTAGCCCTGGTATATGTTATAACATATTCTGGGTAGCCCTGGTATACGTTATAACATATTCTGGGTAGCCCTGGTATACGTTATAACATATTCTGGGTAGCCCTGGTATACGTTATAACATATTCTGGGTAGCCCTGGTATACGTTATAACATATTCTGGGTAGCCCTGGTATACGTTATAACATATTCTGGGTAGCCCTGGTATACGTTATAACATATTCTGGGTAGCCCTGGTATACGTTATAACATATTCTGGGTAGCCCTGGTATACGTTATAACATATTCTGGGTAGCCCTGGTATACGTTATAACATATTCTGGGTAGCCCTGGTATACGTTATAACATATTCTGGGTAGCCCTGGTATACGTTATAACATATTCTGGGTAGCCCTGGTATACGTTATAACATATTCTGGGTAGCCCTGGTATACGTTATAACATATTCTGGGTAGCCCTGGTATACGTTATAACATATTCTGGGTAGCCCTGGTATACGTTATAACATATTCTGGGTAGCCCTGGTATACGTTATAACATATTCTGGGTAGCCCTGGTATACGTTATAACATATTCTGGGTAGCCCTGGTATACGTTATAACATATTCTGGGTAGCCCTGGTATACGTTATAACATATTCTGGGTAGCCCTGGTATACGTTATAACATATTCTGGGTAGCCCTGGTATACGTTATAACATATTCTGGGTAGCCCTGGTATACGTTATAACATATTCTGGGTAGCCCTGGTATACGTTATAACATATTCTGGGTAGCCCTGGTATACGTTATAACATATTCTGGGTAGCCCTGGTATACGTTATAACATATTCTGGGTAGCCCTGGTATACGTTATAACATATTCTGGGTAGCCCTGGTATACGTTATAACATATTCTGGGTAGCCCTGGTATACGTTATAACATATTCTGGGTAGCCCTGGTATACGTTATAACATATTCTGGGTAGCCCTGGTATACGTTATAACATATTCTGGGTAGCCCTGGTATACGTTATAACATATTCTGGGTAGCCCTGGTATACGTTATAACATATTCTGGGTAGCCCTGGTATACGTTATAACATATTCTGGGTAGCCCTGGTATACGTTATAACATATTCTGGGTAGCCCTGGTATACGTTATAACATATTCTGGGTAGCCCTGGTATACGTTATAACATATTCTGGGTAGCCCTGGTATACGTTATAACATATTCTGGGTAGCCCTGGTATACGTTATAACATATTCTGGGTAGCCCTGGTATACGTTATAACATATTCTGGGTAGCCCTGGTATACGTTATAACATATTCTGGGTAGCCCTGGTATACGTTATAACATATTCTGGGTAGCCCTGGTATACGTTATAACATATTCTGGGTAGCCCTGGTATACGTTATAACATATTCTGGGTAGCCCTGGTATACGTTATAACATATTCTGGGTAGCCCTGGTATACGTTATAACATATTCTGGGTAGCCCTGGTATACGTTATAACATAGTCTGGGTAGCCCTGGTATACGTTATAACATATTCTGGGTAGCCCTGGTATACATTATAACATAGTCTAGGTAGCCCTGGTATACGTTATAACATATTCTGGGTAGCCCTGGTATACATTATAACATAGTCTGGGTAGCCCTTGTATACATTATAACATAGTCTGGGTAGCCCTGGTATATGTTATAACATATTCTGGGTAGCCCTGGTATATGCTATAACATAGTCTAGGTAGCCTTGTATACATTATTACATAGTCTGGGTAGCCCTGGTATACACTATAACATAGTCTAGGTAGCCCTGGTATACGTTATAACATAGTCTGGGTAGCCCTGGTATATGCTATAACATAGTCTAGGTAGCCCTTGTATACATTATAACATATTCTGGGTAGCCCTGGTATACGTTATAACATGTTCTGGGTAGCCCTGGTATACACTATAACATAGTCTAGGTAGCCATGGTATACGTTATAACATAGTCTGGGTAGACCTGGTATACATTATAACATAGTCTAGGTGGTAGCCCTGGTATACATTATAACATATTCTAGGTAGCCCTGGTATACATTATAACATATTCTGGGAAGCCCTGGTATTCATTATAACATAGTCTAGGTAACACTGGTATACGTTATAACATATTCTGGGTAGCTCTGGTATACGTTACAACATATTCTGGGTAGCCCTGGTATACGTTAGGTAGCCCTGGTATACATTATAACATAGTCTAGGTAGCCCTGGTATAAGTTATAACATAGTCTGGGTAGCCCTGGTATACGTTATAACATGTTCTGGGTAGCCCTGGTATACACTATAACATAGTCTAGGTAGCCATGGTATACGTTATAACATAGTCTGGGTAGGCCTGGTATACATTATAACATAGTCTAGGTAGCCCTGGTATACGTTTTAACATAGTCTGGGTAGCCCTGGTATATGCTATAACATAGTCTAGGTGGCCCTTGTATACATTATAACATATTCTGGGTAGCCCTTGTATACATTATAACATAGTCTAGGTAGCCCTGGTATAAGTTATAACATAGTCAAGGTAGCCCTGGTATACACTATAACATATTCTGGGTAGTCCTGGTATTCATTATAACATAGTCTAGGTAGCCCTGGTATAAGTTATAACATAGTCAAGGTAGCCCTGGTATACACTATAACATATTCTGGGTAGCCCTGGTATATGCTATAACATAGTCTAGGTAGCTCTTGTATACATTATAACATATTCTGGGTAGCTCTGGTATACGTTACAACATATTCTGGGTAGCCCTGGTATATGTTATAACATAGTCTGGGTAGCCCTGGTATACGTTAGTATACGTTATAACATAGTCTGGGTAGCCCTGGTATACATTATAACACAGTCTGGGTAGCCCTTGTATACATTATAACATATTCTGGGTAGCTCTGGTATACGTTATAACATAGTCTAGGTAGCCCTATACGTTATAACATATTCTGGGTAGCCCTTGTATACATTATAACATATTCTGGGTAGCTCTGGTATACGTTATAACATAGTCTAGGTATCCCTGGTATACGCTATAACATATTCTGGGTAGCCCTGGTATAAGTTATAACATAGTCAAGGTAGCCCTGGTATACACTATAACATATTCTGGGTAGTCCTGGTATTCATTATAACATAGTCTAGGTAGCCCTGGTATAAGTTATAACATAGTCTGGGTAGCCCTGGTATACGTTAGTATACGTTATAACATAGTCTGGGTAGCCCTGGTATAAGTTATAACATAGTCAAGGTAGCCCTGGTATACACTATAACATATTCTGGGTAGTCCTGGTATTCATTATAACATAGTCTAGGTAGCCCTGGTATACGCTATAACATATTCTGGGTAGCCCTGGTATATGTTATAACATATTCTGGGTAGCCCTGGTATAGGTTATAACATAGTCTAGGTAGCCCTGGTATACATTATAACATAGTCTGGGTACCCCTGGTATAAAGTAAAACATATTCTGGGTAGCCCTGGTATACATTATAACATAGTCTGGGTAGCCCTGGTATACATTATAACATATTCTGGGTAGCCCTGGTATTCATTATAACATAGTCTAGGTAACCCTGGTATACGTTATAACATATTCTGGGTAGCCCTGGTATACATTATAGCATATTCTGGGTAGCCCTGATATACGTTACAACATATTCTGGGTAGCCCTGGTCTACGTTATAACATATTCTGGGTAGACCTGGTATACGTTATAACATAGTCTGGGCAGCCCTGGTATACGTTATAACATATACCAGGGCTACCCAGAATATGCTATAATGTATACCAGGGCTACCCAGAATATGTTATAACATAGTCTAGGTAACCCTGGTATACGCTATAACATATTCTGGGTAGCCCTGATATACGTTACAACATATTCTGGGTAGCCCTGGTCTACGTTATAACATATTCTGGGTAGGCCTGGTATACGTTATAACATATTCGAGGTAGCCCTGGTATACATTATAACATAGCCTAGGTAGCCATGGTATACATTATAACATAGTCTAGGTAGCCCTTGTATACGTTATAACATATTCTGGATAGCCCTGGTATACGTTATAACACATTCTGGGTAGCCCTGGTATACGTTAGGTAGCCCTGGTATACATTATAACACCTGGTATACACTATAACATATTCCGGGTAGCCCTGATATACGTTACAACATATTCTGGGTAGCCCTGGTAGACGTTATAACATAGTCTAGGTAGCTCTTGTATACATTACAACATAGTCTAGGTAGCCATGGTATAAGTTATAACATATTCTAGGTAGACCTGGTATACATTATAACATATTCTTGGTAGCCCTGGTATACATTATAACATAGCCTAGGTAGCCATGGTATACATTATAACATAGTCTAGGTAGCCCTGGAATACATTACAACATAGTCTAGGTAGCCATGGTATAAGTTATAACATATTCTAGGTAGCCCTGGTATACGTTATAACATAGTCTAGGTAGCCCTGGTATACATTACAACATAGTCTAGGTAGCCCTGGTATAAGTTATAACATATTCTAGGTAGCCCTGGTATACATTATAACATATTCTGGGTAGCCCTGTTATACGTTATAACATATTCTGGGTAGCCCATATTCTGGGTAGCACTGGTATATGTTATCACATATTCTGGGTAGCCCTGTTATACATTATAACATATTCTGGGTAGCCCCGGTATACGTTATAACATATTCTGGGTAGCCCATCTTCTGGGTAGCCCTGGTATATGTTATCACATACATTATAACATAGTCTAGGTAGCCCTGGTATATGTTATAAAATATTCTAGGTAGCCCTGGTATACATTATAACACATTCTGTGTAGCCCTGGTATACGTTATAAAATAGTCTAGGTAGCCCTGGTATACGTTATAACATAGTCTATGTAGCCCTGGTATACGCTATAACATAGTCTAGGTAGCCCTGGTATAAGTTATAACATATTCTGGGTAGCCCTGGTATGTGCTATAACATAGTCTAGGTAGCCTTGTATACATTATTACATAGTCTGGGTAGCCCTGGTATACACTATAACATAGTCTAGGCAGCCCCGGTATATGTTATAACATATTCTGGGTAGCCCTGGTATACATTATAACATAGTCTAGGTAGCCCTGGTATATGTTATAACATATTCTAGGTAGCCCTGGTATACATTATAACATATTCTGTGTAGCCCTGGTATACGTTATAACATAGTCTAGGTAGCCCTGGTATATGTTATCACATACATTATAACATAGTCTAGGTAGCCCTGGTATACGTTATAACATATTCTGGGTAGCCCATATTCTGGGTAGCCCTGGTATATGTTATCACATATTCTGGGTAGCCCTGTTATACGTTATCACATATTCTGGGTAGCCCTGTTATACGTTATAACATATTCTGGGTAGCCCTGGTATACGTTATAACATATTCTGGGTAGCCATGGTATACGTTATAACATATTAGCCCTGGTATATGTTATAACATATTCTGGGTAGCCCTGGTATACGTTATAACATAGTCTAGGTAGCCCTGGTATACGTTATAACATATTCTGGGTAGCCATGGTATACGTTATAACATATTCTGGGTAGCCCTGTTATACGTTATCACATATTCTGGGTAGCCCTGGTATACGTTATAACATATTCTGGGTAGCCCTGATGCTGACTGTACAATATAGTAACAGAGTAACAACACTGTTTTATTCCCTTGTATATGTTATAACATATTCTGGGTAGCTCTGATGCTGACTGTACAATACAAACTCCCGGAACAGCCACATACCATCCCCCACTACACTATCACAGCGTTCCAGGTCACTATGGCTACAGGTATCCTTGTTGCAGCCCGCAACAAAACATGGCGGCCTCTTCAGAGTGTGGGCTGACTGTGACACCAGACAAATTTTTCCCAGACACACTCTTGCTAGCAGCATTGTCTTCTCATTTTGACTTCTTTGCCCCCTGGGATCTAAAAAATACCACAAATTTCATTTTATTTAGGAAATAGTTGAGCTATGGAGATGACCACTTAATTACAATCATCAGTTATATAGTTACATTTACTGGTCATTCAAGTTAATACCTTAAATACTGTAAAAAAAAAATGATTATTGTATACCAGGAATCTTTGCCCAGTCAGATATATTCGCCCTTCAATGGTAAAATCCATATTCTCCGAGTGTAAATTTCGCCCTTCACATGTATTACTATATATGGTATGCTGTGAAACAATATTTGCTGTCATGATTTGCTGTTGCTGTCACCCTCATTTCGGAGGGCAAAAAAATGAAAGGTAAACTGCGGCAAACATTTCCTGGCATTCAGTATTGAAATGTGGAAATGTTCATGTTTTTCGTGTTGTTACATATATTACTCCTCTTACTGAGTCGATCAAGGAATACACATTAGAATATCTATGATTCAGTTACGAGCATCACTTTCTTTGTACAAAATCTTTTGAATTTTTGAAAAAAATAATCTGAGTTTCCTGTGACACCTCAGTGATATAACATATAGAAACAAAATAACCGGGGGCTGACCTAGATATACCTCCCACCCCGCCCTCCCTCATCCCCAATGAAAATAAGGGGTCATGTACTGTGTGACCATAGAACTTTTAACCTTGAATCCTGACCACTAAATCTAATCTGAAACTTGATGTTACCATACTACGTTGTATATATGAACAAAATCTGTACCTGAGAAGACTGAAGAATCATGCTACCTACAGGTACAGTACAACAAACTGGCATAATTACAACTGTTCACACATTCCCAAATTGCTTAGCAACCAGTACACTTATTAGGTAAAATATGTTACTTATATGAGTACTATGTTTTTGTATATACCAGCATATTGGTCAGCCTTAGTAGAACTCTCAGCGAAGTACATTCCTTGACCGAACATCGCTTTGTCCCCTGACATTCGGACGTCCATTCCTTGCTTCAGTATGGATTCCAGGATATCCGGCTTAGTTCCGTGGAAAAAGTAATACTCGTTGACCTCCGGAAAAGTGTCACGTTGTAAAGTTTGGTCAGTCATGTTAGCTGTTTTTATAGCACCCTTTGACCCAGAGATCGCCTCAAGATGATCAAACACTCCGATAGAACCAGCTTTGTGGAATAATGTAGCTCTAGCGTTTCCATACTTCTCAAACAAGTCTATGTTCTCCAGTCTCTGAATGTTAGTCACCTTCAGAGAGGTAAACCCTCCGAGTCCCACAGCATCACGGCCGTGTCCAATCTTGTTTGTCTCCCATGTGTTTTCTATAAGACTTTCCACTGCTTTCTTCTCCTCCTGAGAAACCGGCACAAGGCGATGGAGTTCCCCATTTGGAGGAGACACTTTCCATTTCTTCACCGTTTTTGAGGACTTAAAGTGACTCCAATAACGGGGGGCCCGCAGACTTTGCTCATAAACATGAAGGCAGAAAGACTTGGTGCCTCTTGCATGTTTCGACAACTGCGGACAAGGTACAGCAGATATAGCACCGGTTGTCTGTTTCTCAAACGCCTGGAGATATTCAACAGAAATAATTGTTAAGCACCTAAGTGTTGCATCCCAACAATCAACTAAATTCAGATACATGATATGTTGAATATAAGTTACCAAGTCTCAGATATTTACTTAACTTCAGGAGATGGTTCAAAATCCTAACTTCACCAGTGTGGCATTCTTTTTCGCCAGAATTAAGGTTCTACTTTGATCAAACTAGAATCTGCAGAAAAATTATTTGTTGGCAAATAAACAGGTGGACATATGCCAGATGCTGCTGTAAAGCATAAGCTCACCATGGTACTAGAAACAGAAAAGATAATGATCCAAACTGTTGGGAGTGGTGCTGCAGACATACTTTGGTCTTTCCATTTTTTCCCTAAGCAGAGGACAAAGAACAAAAACCACTGATCGGCAGGGGGCCCACATTAGTCACCTAGTACGATCTTACCGTGAGATACAGAAGGTTTATTCCTACACACTAACTATGCTATTACATGTTGCAGAATTAAAAGTGTACTTGCTGACATTACGTTTCATTTGTAAGAAGAACAGTAACCCAAAATGTCATCTGATTCGGAAATTGTAGAAGGTCACCAGGGCCCGTATTCATGAAACCGTTCTCATGCTCAAGCATGGAGTCTGTGCTCAAACCAACTTTCTGGTAGCTCGCTTTTAATTTATCACTGAAACATGAAATAAGGCTTGAGCACAAAAACCATGCTTGAGCATGAGTACGGTTTCATGACTACGGGCCCTGAAGGTTATGCACTTACTTTTCCAACAGTATGTTGGTCATTACCATAGATAACGATCCTGACATCTGTTACAGAGGAAGTGTTCCGACTGCTCCAAAACTCTTCAAAAGCTTCAAACATTGCCTTAGCTGAAAGTTTTGAAGGATATTTCCTAAATCTTGTTCCAAGTGCAGGAAAAGATATGGAAGTTAATCCATGAGAATCCATCTCTTCTAAGCACTTACACACCAGATCTATGATCACCTGAAATGTATGACGACAGCTTGTGACTACAAGAAAAAATGCACAAAATTTGCTGAATGTAGGGGAGGGAAATGGGGTGGGGTGGGGAAGTGTCATAGGGGAGGGAAATGGGGTGGGGTGTCATAGGGGAGGGAAATGAGGTGGGGTGGGAAGTGTCATTTCAGAATGTTATCATATCATGCACTAAATTATCTGTATTGTTTCTTCAGAATGTGTTTCTTACCCTAGATGACTCATCTTCATTGCTGCGATCAAAGTCACACATACAAACATGGTAGACTTTTTTGCAGGAGAGGTTGCCAGCATCCGTGAAGGCGACACCCTTGGGCGTGATCCCTTGGGGATAGAGGGTGGAGCACGACTGTTGGAGGGCAGGACCAGCCACCCTGTTGAGGGTATTAGACAAGGTTCCCTTGTCAAGCTTCAGTTCTTTGTTGGCACTGTTTACTATCACATCGACCTGTTAAGTGTAGCACAGAACTTACAAAATATCTGTTGATTAATTTCATATGTTACATTTGTACATGTTTTATATCACTTACACCTCGCCAGCATTGTTTGCCAAGTACATTCACAAGAAGGATACATACTGAATTCAAATATCACATTTAACGGATATTCAAGGCAAGATATATGCATGAAAGGGTAGTGGAGCAGGGGACACTTGAAACTGATCATACATACGTAGGGTCTAAAATATGGGAATAATGTACATATGTAAGTGTGGGTGATGAGGTCAGGTGGAAGTGCTTCCAAAGTGATTAATGATGAAAGGAAATTAAGGTTCCAATGTAGTCAGGTTAGTAAGTAAAACAGGTGTTGCTTACAGTGTGTCGTAGGAGTATAAACTTTCTTTATAACTGCAAAAGTCTTTCAAAATATTGTTAAAGATGCAGTTACGACCCCTTGGATGCTTTACTTACATTACAGTAAAAAGTGCTGTATCCTCTTGGATTTTTTATATTAAGGCAATTTATTACAATTAATGTCACATAAAGAGTAAACCTGTGTAATTTGCACAATTATGTTATTTTTTGGAATAGAAATATATTTTTACATTACGTACAGTGAAGCAGAGAGTATAAAATATCATAACCCCCTTGACAATTTGAGAAGGTAGAATTTTGTTTTCCACATATTATACAGGATCCTGAGATGGTATATTTAATTTAGCCTTGAACAATGACTTAATACACTTTGAAACCTCTTTAAAACACATACATGAGAAAGATATTTTACTAAGAACTTTAACATACAGAATTACCACTGGTGTAATTGACAAAGAGCACTAGAAATATTAACACTGCTATCTGAATATCTATTACAGCATGTAATTCTGTAATCCATGCATGAAAGTGTCATGTGGTAGTCATGGTTACCTTCTGGTCCTCCATTTTGTCTACCACCACGCGGACAGTCATGCCTCCGACAGTAGAACTACAGATGTCTCGGACAGGTACAACTGAATTAGTCAGAAAAGCAATGAAGATATCTTAGGTCTCTATTACAATCAACAATTTACATGCAGTATATCAAGCAATAGTTTAAACTTAAATGAGTTGAATATCATGTGCTCCTGACGGGTGACACATAGGGTACAGGAAACGCATGTCATCCATACGATGTCAGGTCATCGTCAGCGCTACCAATTCCATTTCAGTCAAAATTGTTTTTACACCATAACATTTTTATAAAACAAAGCGGATCTGTTATTATTCAAAAAGGTTGTACATGATACTTACATTTGTCTATCCTGTCCTTCCATGCCTTCACTTCACTGCTGAAAGCCTATAAAAGAGAACAAAAATCCTCTGATGTCATTGGACGATCCTGTCACAATACATCTGGATGTTCTGTTTCGTAATCACTAAATTAGTCTCCATTCATACTGCAAAGTTGTGATTAAATAAATTTACATGAGAATCCAACATCAAACTTTGGTAACTTTACAGGAAAGGTTAATTCTGCAATCTACTATTTGATTCATGAAATTCAATTTTCTTACCAACCAGATAGAGGTATCCATATTCTTTTGCAGACAATTAATGCCTTTACGAAGGCTGCCCTGAGCTAAACAATTATCTTAAGACCTTATTTAGAGGTATGGCTTGTGGCACAAGTTGTTCCTGAAGACAGGAGACAATTAACCTCTACCAAACTGAGATCAAACACTGTCTAAATATCTACCTTCAAAGTCGCTCTGTCCTTTTCGTAGATAACAATTCGGATGTCTCTGAGGGATGTGTCCTGATGTGACTCGATGAACTTCCGCACTTCCTCACAAGCATTTTTGGCTGCAATGTCCTTGGGAAAGGCGAGAAAGCCTGTGGTCAGACCGGGCATAGCAATGGATGTCAGGTCATCGTCACTGGCCATCTCAAGACACTTTGTAACGAAGTCTGTATGTACCTGTTCTCCAAATAATGTACAGTTCTATAGGATATTGCGATAAAACTATTCTCACAGGCTCAACATACAAGAGGAACTAAACAAATGCAAACTTCAAAATAAACTAATAATTCAAATCTAATTAATCTATTCATTTCAATCCCTCTTTAGGATGTACTTCTGAAAACACAAAGTATTTTTTTCCTGTAAGGATTTCTCAATTTATTTAATCTATTCAGGCTAGCTTTGTAATGAGATCTACCCCATATTTCAAAGTTACACATGCTTAAACTTTATGAAATAATGAAATACTGATCAGTGCATAAAACACATGTCCCTTACCATGGCCAGCAGTCTAGTCATGTAAAGGCCATCTACAATGTATCTTCAAAACCCAAACCAGCTAGATGAGATTGGAATTTTTAACCTTTGACTGCTTAGTGTGATCATGATTTCGACAGAATTAATCATTCAAAAGAAGTTATGTTTCACGACATTCCTGTGAATTGTTCAGTAAAAGAACATAACAATGGAATGGTTTTGAATGACAATGACCTTGACCTTTGGATAAAGGACATCATAGTGATACATATAGAACATTATCCAGCCATGGTGCATCCATCTAGTAATCTTCATCAAAGTAGGTATAGGGCAGCAGTATATTACCTGAACAATAATATGACCTTTGAACCTTGACATTGCTGCGACCTCGGCTACATAAAACATTCTGTTTAAAATAATGGTGACCTTAACCTTGGGTGCAAAATGCAGAAATAGAAACTCTTTGATGTTAGCTTGTTATCTAGTCTCTGAAGATTCAAGGAAAAATGATGGCACTAGAGCAATGACATCACTGTGCAATGGCTTTCTGGATAAAAAGACATTGATAATGCTATACACTCCTGCCATTTAGAAGTTAGGATGCAGACAAGAATATGGCTTAGACTGATGGACATGTACATTATCCTTTGGCCAGCCCATTCCCTGGTTTCATTGGTAAAGTAATGATAACAAATTTCCAATGAGTTACCTTCGCAGCATTATCTGTGCCCCACTTGACAAGAGAGCCGTGGTAAACATGGTCACAAGGCAGGTTGCCTGCCTCTGTTATAGCTACGTCACCAACAGTTATGCCATTGGGATATTTCTGCCGACAATCTGTCTGCAGACTGTCCCCAGACGCCTTCAGAAGGATGCGAGAAGCGGTCCCTTTTTTTAGGTCAAGGTCAGTTGATGTACTATTCACAATCACATCCACCTGTCAATCAGAAAATGCAAAGCAAAAGGCGTGAAAATATGAATATTGGAGCGAATATCAGTTTGGGCTTATAATTGGGTGCACTATAATGTAAATCACTAGATTGGTCCACTAAGATGTAATAAATAAAATTTCTGACGTAATTAAATCTTAAATTTTACCTCATACCTAATGAGTATTGCTCAATACCAAAGTAAAGCTGATGATCGACTCTCATTACCAACTTAAGCTGATGATTGAGTCTCATTATCTAACTTAAGCTGATGATTAAGTCTCATTATCTAACTTAAGCTGATGATTGAGTCCCAATACCTAATTTAAGTCTCATTACCTAACTGAGGCTGAAGATTGAATCTCATTACCTAATAAAAGCTGAAGATTGAGTGTCATATAACTTAAGCTGATGATTGATTCTCATTACCTAACTCAAATCTCATTACCTAACTGAAGCTGATGACTGCATGAGTCTCATTACCTAACAAAAGCTGATGATAGTCTCATTACCTAACAAAAGCTGATGATTGAGTCTCATTACCCAACTAAAGCTGATGATTGAATCTCAATAATTTACTTAAGCCGATGATTAAGTCTCATTACCTAACTTAAGTCTAAATACCTAACTGAAGCTGATGATTGAGTCTCATTACCTAACTTAAGTCTCAATACCTAACTTAAGTCTCAATACCTAACTGAAGCTGATGATTGAGTTTCAATACCTAACATATATCTGACTAGTGAGGCTCAGTACATTATATAACTTAAATTTGACAAATAAGATTATAGCCTAGGTAAATTTTACAGGCTGACTACAAGATCAGCTTTCTAAATTTTCAACTAAAACATTTAGTACAATTTTCATAACATCATGATTTGAAGAAAATTTATGACATACAGTTTCTTCAGCGATATTTCCTTTGACAACTCGGATCAATACTCCATCGACAAGAAGTGTGACAGTTGTCTCCCCTGAAGTGCCAGCAGGTGGACCCTCCTCATCTATCAACAAGTAACACTGATACATGTAAAATTACCAAGTTATCTATACCATGTACACTTGTCATTGAAAATTACAAAAATAAACTTGTTGAACTGAGTCTGATTGATGTAGGGTCACATATAAAGATTAAAGACATGGATTTATCATGTTATACACATTTTCCTAATAAAATGAGTTAACAGCTATTTACAAAACAGGATTTTTTTATAACATGCATAGAAATATTGGTTTAATATAATACACAGTATACTAGTCTTTTATGTGGTGCTATTATTTTTACATTTTTTCCCTGTCAAATCACAGGATATAGGATACTGAATGACATTCAATAATTTATGGCTTCATATATCTCATGTTACAAGTTACTGGATCGTGCAGAGTAATTTCGGACTATGTCATTATGTGGCACTAAATAATTGGACCTACTAAAAGTTATCGTTTACCAGCTATAGGCTTATATTTATCACTATCAAAATTTCCAAAAATATTATGATTAGGGAAATTATGTTTAAAAATGCCATTGTTCTTTGAAAACAAAATCAATCTCAATTCTATCAGCTGTGTTTGTTTGAAATATTTGCATTAAATTACCTGTATATTCCAGATTGAAGTCACTAGTGTTAAGTTCATCGTCGCTGCCAGAGGGATATGATTCGGTGTCCGACATCTGAGTAAAAAAAATGAGAAAATCCTGTAATGCCTACTAATAATATAATGGGAGGTTCATGAAGCTGACATCAGCCTTACTGTGGTCAATTCATAACATTTTTCATATACCAGGTACATGTTAAGCATTTCAGACTTACCTTAAAAATGCTTTATAATAATTAGTTAAACAATACTAAAACGAAAGTAGAAATTCCAAATGCAATATTTACTAGAGTTAATTATTCATACAAAACGTTTATATTCATGTTACATTTTAGAGTACTGGAGGGTTAATATCATAATTTTATCAGATTTGTATAGCCTTACCTTTTTTTTTATCAAATCTTGTATGATAACGGCGCTCCAATCATCATTTGTGCATAACTACGATTCTATACGTCATTATATTACTTCCTTCAGCTTGTCTTCAAGCGTGTCACAGACGTCGGATTCCGTAACAAAAGTAGCTATGTATAGGGTATCGATTTTTTATGTAAGCCCCTAATATCCATTTTAAACATACATTGTGATGTCGCTTAACCTCGAGGATATACGTATGTACTCTGGTATGTTGTCCAAGTTTAAACTGACCCCAACACACTTTTAAACAATTCAACAGAAATTTTGTCCTAATTATTTCAAATGTGAAATACAAAATACAAAATGCACTGCTTACAAACTGTTTCAGAGTCTAATGAACCAGCAAAATTTAAAATAGGTAGAAGCAGCAATTAAACGAATTAAATGTTTTGAGATATATTCCTGTTTTATCATTTAAGGTTAAGGGTAACACTCAGTGGCGGATCCAGAGACCTATCTGGGGGGGGGGGTTCCATGTTGGAAAAAATTTGATGAAAATGGTGAAAATATATGATTTTTAAAGAAAATTCTCGGGGGGGGGGGGGGGGGGGGGGGGGNGGATCCGCCACTGTCACTGGTACTGCGCCAGTTATAATTGCAAAAGAGTTCCACTGAATCTTTATAGAGAAATATAAAGCAACCAAAAGGATTTTTGTGTGGTTTGGAATAACTCCCCATGACAAGTTAATTATGGGTTGGTGACATGCTTCAACACCTTGACTGGCAATCACTTGAAGACAGAAGGAGAGTCATGCGACTGACAACACTACATAAAACTATACATGACAAAGTCAATATAAGAAAAGACCAACTCATACCTACATCCCGCCACAGACACGCACACCAGAACTCATATCAAACACTCTCATGTAGAACACAGGTACGACAACAATCCTTTTCCCTCGTACCATAGTAGACTAGAATAACCTGCCTCCAGATTTAACCTCCATTACCTCTTCTGACTGCTTCAAACTGTCAATCTTTTCTTCTCTTGGCCTAGCACCCACTATCACATGACATGATCTTCAAATAGATGAAGGTGGTCATGACTATGTAGATGTAGATGCAGATAGATAGATGCAGATGGGACTGTTGACCCATCAATTGGAGACTCATTATTCTAATTCCTATGTGGCAGCAATGGACAAGTATAGACTTTGCAGTGTAACGGCACTGTACCCAAAACAGGACAATAGCCTAAACGGGACACTTGTGGGAAAACGTCTCAAGAAATAATTTTAAGGTAGTAGAAAAGTCATACGTACCTCTCGTATGACAGAACATACCAATAGTTTACACATGCTTTACACAAATGGAATATGCATTGATATTCTCCCATACTCGTGAAATATATATGGTATTCAATGGGAAACCATTGTATGTCCTCTATATACCTGTATTACTTTAATTCAGAGGATAGAAGAAGTATTCAGAATGAGGTTAACGCAGTTAAGATGAAATCCGAGAATGTGAATGATCAAAAGATGAGAAGAGAAAACTACTCATAGATCGATAGTGGTACATATAGCACAATATTTACTTACAACCGCATACTGTGTTCATAGCTCCTTTAGACTAGGACTTGGTTCATTGGTACATTGCAGGTGACACCGTTGTTAGCGTCTAGTCGCTTCTTAAGGTGCTTCTTAATACCGAACTTGTCAACATATATTGTCTTACTCAGGTTAGTCAGACAATTTTTGTCATTTTCCCCTATTGTAAATTTTTGAGACTTTACCTCCCCTTTAACTATATGAAGAAAACTTTTGTACAATGATTCTCCACCATGTTCAGGCGCGTAGCTACCATGTAAGCCAATAAGCCCGGGCTTGCACATGATTTTGACAAGTATAGGTTTTCATGACGGTTTTTTTCTTGCTGATACTATAAAGTGGAGTTTAAGTTTTGAATATATAGTATATATATGTAATTTCTCAGATATGATACATTGTTAATAGTTAGTGGGGCAACCTCGCTTCTCGAAATGCCCAACAAATAACAGGAGCAAGTATAAGGAACTAGTTACAAGCACAAACAGAAGACGAAACTGTGTGGGAGACTGAGTAAAGGTGACAGTGGGGGTAACCTCGCTTCCCAATTAACTCGGATCAGATTATGAGAAAGACAAACCCAATTGCATGTTCACTAATGCAGAAGTATCAAATGCATTTATCAAGATTAGGTAAAAACCAGACAATGTATGTATGGAGGGTGCACAAAGCAATACCGACGGTTAATCTTCAGAATTACACTGGATCCACGTAAATAGGTATATAGATATAGATTGAGTTTTTTCTTGCGGATTAAAACGAGGAAACAGACATCAATACGTGGTAAATGGCTCCTGAGACGTTCTAGAAAACAAAATGTTCGTGGGGGAGACCCCCAGACCCCCCTTAAAAGGGTGGGGGGGTGGAAGACCCCCTCCCATACTCTCCCCCGGCTCGCGCTTCGGGGGGGGGGGGGGGGCTGCCTTCGGCAACCCTATGTCGGGCTTACACATGGTAAAGGGGCTAGCTACGCGCCTGATGTTTGCCAATGCTTCTGTTGAAATAGCATTACGTATGTGTAGCTGTTTTGTAAATGTTTGATTACAATATCAAAAGTATTTTATTACAAATTCTGTCATACAATGTATGTCGTAGTTTAATTAGCCACTCATACAAAATATTATATACAATATAGTTTAGTTTATTTTATACAGGATCTATATAATCCTCTCCACTGGACTCAAACATGGTATGTAAAATATGATAATGCATGCACACATCTCACATGACGGTTAAGGTATTCCGTCTTTACGTATTGCAGAGTTACCTTCTCTTGAGAGCAGGTATTGGTTGTTACGTCATTTGTTTGTGAGAGTAACGTCATAAATTTTTGAGAAAACGACGTAATTTTCTCACACAAATCAATGACGTAACAATCAATACCTGCTCTCAAGAGAAGATAACTCTGCAATACGCAAAGACGGAATATGGACATCTATGGAACGCCGGTGCGCAATGCGAGGCAATTCGCAATTCGCAATACGCAATTCGCAATTCGCAGTACGCTATTCGCAATTCGCATTGCGCACTGGCGTTCCATAGACATCACATGCTTAACGAGTTATGTTAGCTCTGTAGCTATAAATAATCTCCTGATCAATCCAGTGTCTATCGAGTCTGTTCTTAAATGTATTTACTGCTGGTGCTGATATCACATCCTCTGTAAGACTGTTCCATAGTTTTTCTATTCGTAGATAAAAAAAAGTTTTTCAATGTTTGAGTATTGTGGGTAAAGTTTTTCGGGATAGTCCTACAACAATGTAAGGAAATCTGATGCGTTTCGATCATATACACCACTCGTTATCTTGTATACTTCTATGGCATCACCTCTTGCACGTCTGTAACTCAAAGTAGGTAGATTTAGCCTGTTTAGCCGCTCCGAATATAGTAGATCATACTTTCTAGCATATCAATATATTTAGCTCTATATGGGTACCATACCGTGTTTGCATATTCTAGATGAATTCTAACTAGACTTATATGTAATAGTGGAAAAGAGCGTTCATTCATATATTGAAGAGTTCATCGAACGACAGCGAACATTGAATTTGCCTTTTTTTCCTGCGCACTTATTTGATCAAAAATAGTAGGGCGTTGTCTACAATCACTCCAGGATCCTTCTCAATGTATACTTTATTTAATGCTTCATGGTTTAGATAACATGTTCGTTCACATGACGCACGACCTATGTGCATAGATTTATATTTGCCAGGATAAACATTTCATAAACCATTTGTCGCTCCACTCGGAGAGTTTTTTTCAAATCCGCTTGGACATCATTAGTATCTTTAATCCCACGTATCACTTTTAACAATTTAGTATCAACAGCAAAACAGTAACCGGTAGATGTATAGTACGAACAGAATGGGTCCCAAGACGGATCCTTTGGGCACTCCCGATGTTATTGCAGTCCATCTTGAATGTTCTCTTTTTGAAATGAAACTTGTCGTCCATTTAATATTCTCTTCACTTAACCCGTTCGATAACATTTTACTCAGTATAGCGTAGCTGCCTTAGGTTCGAGTAGGCACGTGCCTACAAATACTTTTGTCAAGTGTTTGTTTTAAGTCAGTGCAAATTAAAAAAAAGGTGTTTTTGTAGTCATAATAATCTTGTATACACGTACGGAAGTGCAATACAACTTTCAAGCTTAAAGTAAACAATGATGATAACACAACGATGAACAAGTTTGTAGTCAATTCGAAATATCAAAACTTCTGAGACCCACTCAGATGATCCCCATCGCAGTGAAACTGTCTCGTTTTCCAAAAGTAATGTGTCATCCTATAATGCCCTTGCCCTACTCCTCCCTGATTTGGCACGCATATGATATCTGTTTATATACTGAACCCTAAGGGCAAAACGATATTTGCCGCTTGAAAAAAATTCACCAAGTCTCTATTTCCTGACACCGATGTGCAAACCATATAGTCGACGATCTGTATGATCGACATGTTTTAGTGTCTGCAGACAAAGAATCTAATATTTTAATCTTTGTTTGCAAACACTATTACATTGTCTGCTTGCAAAAATAGAATAAAGCATGCTTGATCACCAAGGTAACCCTTTTCTGATGACGAAATACTAGCTAATCACGCTACTGTATTACAATCTTTCCGAATACCCATTAATGATAAGGGTACGGACCTGCATCGTTGTATTGAATTCCAAAACTTTACAAGAATGCTTGAAAATAATGTTCTATCGCTCTTCCATGCCATTATGCCAACTTGTCCAACCCTTCTTTATACCAATTTATCAGAGTTAAATTTGGAATTCGAAGAATTCAAAAGATCTTTCGACCAATCTTTAACATCCTATTCTCAAAAATATGTTTTACTCTAAAAACAATCACCAAAGTATTATTCATGTAGGCATATTCCTTGGAGCCAATCGATTTCTCAATTACTTATAACCTGTTATTCCTTTTTTTAAACTGATAAATAAAATTAAAAAAAATATATATATTTTTAAAGTTACATCGTATGATTGCAGTGGCGCAGAGCGACCTGT